ACACACACACACACACACACACACACACACACACACACACACACACACACACAATTTCTGCTGGAGCTTCATTTTGTTGTGCAAAGGCAGCTGCAGAGACACCTCCAAGGACTTAACCGACTTCACAAGAGCTCATTCCACACCTAGATGCACCAAACTCCTCCACCAGCCAAAGGAACACAATACTTTCCACAGAGATAACACTTTCTTCTTTTTTCACTGGACTGTGACAGTCACCCCCAGAAAGTTTTCAAGGGAGGGGACCAAGTGGGATAATCTTAGGATGGTGCCCCAAAACCTAAAATTATGTTGTAATGAGATCTCATAAGACTAAAGTGTCACAGAAATAGAAATTGCGCAAAGAAAATATAAAAAAAGTCTCCTTTTTTAAATATAAATTAATATTAAGTATATTATATACTGTTTAAAACTGCATTTTGACAGAGGACAATGGATTACTGTAACAGTATTTTATTCTGTTTACCTTAGATTTGTTATTCTTATTCAGGGAGACTAGTGGCCTTTTTGCACTTGTTGCACAACAACAACAAGCTAACATTTGCTACCATTAGCTTACTGTCTTCTATCATCTTATCGTCTCTTCATTCTGCTGAATCATCCAGTACAGCCTTCGGTACTTTTCCTTCGAGTTTGGTGTAGTTCAGTGTTGTGTTGTAAATAAAACAAAATAATATTTGTTAATATTTTTCATTGTTATTATCCTCGCAAGCATAGCGGCAGCTCTCTGCTTCAAGCAAACCTAACCAGGCCAGGTTGACTGTGGCTGAGACGGGCTGGGCCTTACAATGCATAAAATGCCATCATTGTTTTTATCCTGAATTTTAAAAAAAAAAAAAAGAWTTTTTTTGCCCACCACTTGTTCCAAAACAATGTTTTGTTTATTATAATTATGACATTTCTAATAGTCCCAAAAAAACATTCAGTTTAGCCCCCAGGGAAGTGGGACTGGGACAAGGAGCGTGTGAACAGAGTGACACAGAGCAGCGAGTGTTGGACAGGAACACATGCAGAGTGGCTGAACAGTGCAGACTACAAGAGTTTGAGTCATTCACTTCAAAATCCATAATCCCAGAGAAGTACAGGTTCTGTTTGTTTGAGTCGACTATCCCAGACGAAAGGAATGCTCTATATTATACGGATGAGCAATTTAAACAAAAATACACTTCTGATTTTGTTGGATATTTTTAATTAATTCTTTGAACATTAATACATCCCCTCCCAATCCACAAACCACCCTCCTTTCTCTACTTCAGCGTTGTTTTAAAAAAGCATCCGTGACATTAATTCTTCAAAGTTGTAACTTATCTCCACCTTTTGTTACAAAGTTATTAGCTGCTTTGCTCCAGCGTTCGGTTTCCTTCTTTAACACAAACTTTTGTGCAGACTCTGTGCTCTCACACTCACATGGACTGCATGCTTCTTTAGCGTGTGTGTTTTTATGGTACAATTGGTTTGAGTGTTATAAACGCTGCCTGGTGTTCAACACTATTTTACTTCATCCTGTCAGATCTTACTCCACCTGCTTCAAGCGTGTAGTCCTATTTTGCATCAGCAAAGAAAGTTTTTACCTGTTTCCTAATACAAAAGCTTGTTCATCACATCTCTACAATACTTGTATTGGTGCTTTAGTGTACTTTAGTGTTGTTAAATCAGTAGCAGACGAACTTTCCTGTTGGCAGTTTGCAGTACAAGTTTTAATGACAACCAACAGGACTTTTCTTTTTTTTTTTTTTTTTTTAAAAAACTTGTTTAAAATTAAAAAATAAAAACAGATCAGATCTTTTTTTTCAGTTGTTGATTCTTATTCAATGTGCAGTAGTTCTTATCTATGCAGGACCAAAAAGTGGCATAATTAAAAATAAAAGTAGAAGTACTGTATATAAATGGCCCATTAAATAAATAAACACACTTAAAAATAATTTTAAAAAGGAGAACTTTTCCTCATGTTTTATAATTTTACTAACTAATTTATTTTACCAGCTTAGATCCAACAGTTTATACACTTTAATTCATAATTTAAATTTCAATGTTTTTAAAAATAGATATTTTTGTTTTACCTTGTACTTGTAGGCACATTATGTTTCAAATTTTTATACATTTTTAATTTAATTGTTTAGTTGTATTTTTATTTCCATGTGTTGTTTTTACTTCATGCATTTCTGCCTCATTGTACAAAAAATGTAAAACCAACACGTGGGAGTACAAGTTTTTGAACATGTGTGACTAGTTACACACACTTTACCAAAACTGGGGATTTGTGTGCAAGGATGTTGAAAAAAATACTTGGCCCCTCTATGAATATTGTGGCCCCTTACTAAGAAAGATCCTCATAAATAAGTGTTAATGGATGGATAAAATATGGATGTTTTTGTTCAGAACACAAACACCTAGGTCAAAAACTCTATTTTTTTTAATTGTGCTATTTTAGCATCTAATTGTCCTGCAATCAGCTCATTGTTATTGATATCTGGTAGAAAAATGAAGAAGTACTAAAAGGGTCTATTGAAGAACATTGAAACCTTCATGTGAATGATTTCCTCTCACCTCTGTTTTTTTACAGAGTGGTAAAAAGACAGTGAAAGCAGTGTTGTGGGTTTCAGCAGATGGACTCAGGGTTGTAGATGACAAAACCAAGGTAAGAAAACTTATCACGTCTTACTTGTAACTCTGTTTTGTTCTCCTTACACTTTTATGTACTTTATCTCTTGGTAACAAGGAGAAAAAAGAACAGTTTTGCAGACAAATAGAACTCACAGGTGTTTCACCTACAGCTGCAGGTAACAGCCTCTTTAGACAGATGTTGAGTAACGTAAAGGGCATTTGGAAGATAAAAATGTCAGATATTATCAGTGTCTGCATGTGTGAGAATCATGAGAGAATCGTGATTGTTTGCTGAAGTTGCTTAGTGGGGCGTAGAAGATCAAGTAAACACAGACACACACTCACACTTCAGGGTGTCTGGTAACATGGGAGGCCGCCAACAGTGAGTGCAGAAAGCTGTGGCTCTACTGAGCACTGAGCAGAATTAAAAACAGTACAGAAAACAAAGGCGAGACAAAACCCAAAGAAAAAGGCCTGTTTTTCCCGCTTTGCTTTGGTTTGTTTCGACACCACTCACATGACCTCACTTTTCTAACTCCCTAATCTCACTCCTTCTTTTACACTTTGGATTTAATTCTCCTTTTATCTTTTAAATCACTTAAACCTGATCGGTGTCACGACGTATTATCTTTGCTCTCCAGAGGCTTTTAAACATGGCTGCATGTGGTGGCATACTGACTTCTGATTTATCCAATTATTTCAATGGTACTGTTTGGTATTTTGCCACATTTTATATGAGTAAATGTGAAAAAAAATCACACACACACACACACACACACACATATATATATATATATATATATATAGCACGCAACTATATACGTTTTTGCTGCAAACTACAATAATTTTAACATCAGTAAAAACAAACTAAAAAATACAAATTATTTCATGTCGCAAAGAATTGTTTAATGAGTTTATTTTTATCACAAAGAATTATTCTTCAGTTTCACAATGACGCAGGCTGTATCTGAAGCCGACCGACAGCTGTTTTTTCCTCCCTTTTCTCTGGAAATGTTGAAAAACACAAATACTGGATGTAGAAAATATCTGAATACACTGGCCTGTCTGACAACGTGACTATTTTTATGTTTATGATGCTCATTCATTACATTAGTGTCTACAGATTCTACATCATAATTTCTGAATTTATATGCAGTCAACAATCCAATAAAGTCCATATTTACATGTTAATATCAGTAAATAATATATTTGACAACAGATAAAATTGATTTTAAATAAGGTTAAATATGAACAGTGAAGCTGTTTAATGTTAGTATACAGGTTTTACAAATAAAAATAATTAATTTTGGTTAAATATGCGTAATATTTACCTGTGAAACATAACCCTTTTAGCTCTTGTAAACATGTAACAATTTCTGCAGTTTATAGCAAAATATTTGTACCATTTGTACATTTATAAAGCGTTTGTTTGCACCACGCCACGTTCTGCTCATTGATTATAATGGTTAGCATTAGCATTAGCTCAATGCATATAAATCCCCCCTTGTGAAGCACGTCCAGTTCACGTCGCCCAATCCGGTAATATATATCAATGTACATAGTACTTAGAAACAACTTAGTAACTACTCAGTAACCACTAAGTAGTCATTTTGATGATGATGTAATTTTATACTTTAGTCAAAACAGTAACCAGGAGATGATGACAATCATGAAATGTGTGACTCACAGCAATAAACTCAGAAAATTCCTACAAAATACAGATTTATTATCTTTTAGCTCATTGTTTAATTTGCAGCAGAGCTTTCATTCTTGTTTGTTTGTTGTTACTTTAAATGAACTGTTCAGTATTGGCTCATCAGTAATAACCATACAGACAAAGCAACAGTCCGGTGGGATATTTAGCACTTACACATTCTTCTCAGGAGAGGGTGGAGACCGTAATCAAACCACAGGAAATGAAAACGGACTCATTGTTTGTTAGATAACCAGGCTAGTGACTGTAAACGAAGAATGATCTGTCTGTGTGGTGAATAGATAAAGACAACACCTAATAAATTATTTTCATTAACAGTGGATTTAACAGATTAAAATATTTGTAGACACCCAGCAATTATGACCCTCATTAATGTTCTTTTCATCATCTCTCTGTAACCGTCTATGAATCAGTCAGGGTGCTCTTATTAAAACCCACACAACCCTTATTCAGATCCATTCCCACACTCTGTAAATATGAGGCTGTGCTTCATTTATTCATGTGGATTTATACAGTTTTGCAGAATCTTCTCTGTATCATCAATAGAAAGAAACAGGAACTTTGTTTTTGTCTGATTCAGCAGCTTGTCTGTGCTCAAACTAAGCAAAGACGTTTCTTTATTGATGACAGCTTGAGTCACAAACTGTACCGCAGTGCTGTTTTCTTTCCTTCATCATCATCATTATCAAAATATTAGCACAGAAAACCAGTTACTACAGTTTTCTGTGTTCACAGCAGCAGGTAGGAAATTCAGACTCACACACGGTGGTCTCTGCTCAACCTTTCACCTCGGTACCAACATTCCCTTTGATTCACTAATTGACCCAAATTGAATAGACTTTTTAAGTTTTCCACCTCCTTCTCCCCACATCCCTCAGCCCTTTCTTTCTCTCCTCCTTTCCTGTCCTTCTTCTCTCTTCATCCTCCTCTCTTTTTGTTTTCTCCGGTGCTGAAAGAGAGGAAGGAAGTGTGTGGACAAGTGTGTGAACCCAGTCGCCTTTCTTCTCCCTCTCGCCTGTTTTCATTCTCATTCTTTCATTTCTTTCTGTTTTCTGAGTGAGTGAGCCGGGGGCCCCTTAATGTACACAGAGAAAGACCGGGGCCCCTCTCAGTTTCACCTATGTGGACTATAGATGCCGAGGCCAGCTGAATGATTCTTTTATAAAAGCAAAGTTAGGCAGCGGAGACATCCCAGAGATTAAAAGAGGGTCAGTGTCATTAGTCTGTGTCTTTTCTGTCATAAGTGGATTTGTGAATGTGGTGGAATAAGGGGTGTGAGGGTATGGGGGGTCAGAGTCCCCACAGCTAGTTGTCCTTTCTAACTCAACCTGGGCTCAAAATGGCAGCTTCAGGATTACAAAACTGTAGCACTGAAGATAGGACCCCAAGACCACACCTGTGTGTGGTCTGCAGCAGAATAAGGTCCTCCTGTGATCAAACAGGTCCTTGGATCTTTCCCCAATCGAACATTTATGGAATCAGCCTGGATAGAAAGTCTGAAAGAGTGAAGATACTGTATGTCAGGTCTTGAAGGACAGTTAGAACCGCTGTGGGCTGCAGAACAGGATATGACAACCCATTCTCACTCCCGAGTCGTCACATATTGACGTTTTTCAAAGGTCCCTTTGCGTCCAATTTTGACGCATCAGGTACCCCCCTTGCGTCATATTTTGACGGGATGGGGCGGAATCTGTTGTCGTAATTTTTCTAAGTGTAGAAAATGCACAAATAGTACCGTCCCAAAGCGTGAAATTACGTGTATTCACTTTAGACATCCTGTCCCAGACCCTAGTACCTAAAATTAACCATTAACCCTGATACGTAAAATTAACCATTTTTAGAAAATGTAGGAAATTCATGGCAACTACGTGTTGCAAAGCCTAAAATTACCTAATGTTCACTGTAGACATCCTATCCCTGACCCCAGTCCCTAAACTTAACCATTTATCCTGATCCCTAATGTTAACCTCAGACCCCCGACCCAAAGACCCCTGGTGGCGCAACCCGGAAAAGCCGCGGGCGGCAAGGACTGACGCGAGGGGGGTACCTGATGCGTCAAAATTGGACGCAAAGGGACCTTTGAAAAACGTCAATATGTGACGACTCGGGAGTGAGAATGTGTTGGATATGACTGTCATGGTGCGTTCACACCGAACGCAATTTCAGCGTCAGGAGCATCGGGTTTACATGCAAAGTCTATGGTGGACGCACTTCAATCTGCGTCGGGAAGGGCTGCAGTGCCTCAAGCGCGATTAGAGCAGCGCTATTTGAGCGTTCGACGCGCTTGATGCGCAAATCGCTGAAGTTAGAAAATCTGAACTTTTGCAGCTCGCTGCGCCATGTCAACCAATCAGAGAGACTCCACTGTGTGACGTAGCGACATATTTCCCGACGGGACAGTTTACTGAGTGATGTCCACTAACCTAAAACAGATGGAGAGGAGCTCTTTAGCTGAAATCGAGTGCCTGCAGTCGGTGTCCTGACAGGAGATATCTGCACCAATGCGTGGCAGCGATTCATCAGACTGGACTCGGGATAAAAATAGTCCTGAAAGCGAGCTGTGAGCCTCTCCCGCAGCTCCTGGGTGAATTAATTATGAATTAATTATCTGATGAACGTGACATGCTCTTGCTCTCTGTAAATAAAGCAAAGCCACTTCCTCGTCCGACATTAAATAGAGCCCGACAGAGGAGGGAGGGGCGGGGAGGCTCTTCACGTGCAGCGCTTCAAGAGCTGACCTGCGTCTGACCTCAAAGTGCACAAGCGTCCAACTTGAAGCGTTGGATGCGATTTTGACGCTGAAATCGCGTTCGGTGTGAACGCAGCATAAGAGTCACCAAGCTTGAAGTGGAGCCACACCCTACTGATGTGTCCCTGTGCTGGTATCCATCTGATCTGATACTGTCATCACTAACGTCCCATTTGACTTTTTAACATGTGCAGTTTTATTTATTTTCCACCACTCCTTCTCTTCTTTTTTATTAAAACTGAAAATTGTATTGATTTTTAAACAGGTTTTAATAAACTAAAATAACAATGAAAAAGAAAACAAAAAGACCAAAAGACTGGTCTGCCCCCCGCCTCCTGGGCAAAACACACCCCTCAGCAACACTTTTTAAATGAACATCAACAAATAATCAAAAAATCCAGAAATCACTCCCGGTCACCTACCAAGCTTCCATTTTTTAAAGAGTCCCAGAAGCTGTTCCAGTCTGTGTCCATGCTCCCTGTCAGTTTTCCAAGCATGGCCTCATTAGAGGCCGTGTCCACCAGTGGTTTAATCCACTCGTTCAGCTCAGGCCTCTTTGTGGTCCTCCAATGTTTCAAGATGATCCCGGACGCTGTCACAAGTCCGATCGAGACCACTGAAATAACTTTCTTTGAAATGTCCGGCGTTTGGGACCTGTCTCCCACCAAACATAGTTCTGAGCAGCTGGTCTGGCTCAGAGGTTCCTCTGACTCCAGATCTGAGTCCAACCACTTCTTCTTTTCTAACTGTTTTGTCAGTGAGTGTATTTTGAGTCAGTCTTTGGGCTGATTTGTACAATAAAGTATTTTACACCTTTGGATGCAATACTGACACTATTTTTCTTTTACTTTTCTGTGTTTTTTCTTTGATCTAATGAGATCCCACCTGGTTGTTCTCTGCTTGTTTCTTGTGTCTGCCTCTCTCAGGACCTCATTGTGGACCAGACCATAGAGAAGGTTTCATTCTGTGCTCCTGACCGTAACTACGACAAGGCCTTCTCCTACATCTGCAGAGATGGGACCACCCGGCGGTGGATGTGCCACTGTTTCATGGCTCTGAAAGACTCAGTGAGTTTTATAACTGCCAGCTCCACTTCTTTAGATACATTGATTACTCAGTAGTTTTAATTCAATTGATTCATTCATGAGTTAAAAAGTAATAATGATAATAAACTGGTGTATTATGGATGAAAACTTTTGTAAAATTATTTTTTAAGTTTTCAATTTATAATATCTGATTTCAAACCTAAGCTGAATACAAGCAGCATAACATCAAGTCCTGTCAAATGTTTTTGGAAATCTTATAATAATAGTAAAAATGAAATTAAAAAAGTAAAGCTACAATTCAGTCTGGTTTAAATAATGTCTTGGTTACATGAGCTGAATCTGAGGGTTGGATTACCAATGTGGGCAGAAGAGAATAGAGCACAAATCTGCGGGATTAGACGAGGGGATTAACCAGGATTGTGTGGGGTTATCCACCCATCTCTGTCTGCTTCTGTTTCCTCTACACCTTCTCCATATCGCTACACGTTCAGCTGTCTCGCCTCTTGTTCTCCTGGCTGACCTGTCTGCAGAAGAATAATGCAGGAGTTCGGTTGTTGTTAAAGTCGTGTGTAAATGTGTTTAGGTTCTTACAACATATTCTTTATTAACTATTAAACATTGTGCATTTGTAAAACAATCCATAAACAATTGATGTTTGTTTGTAATAAATGACCACCTTTCACCTAATAGAAGACAATGATAGTCAAACTTTTTATTGAACGTTACTCAGTCTGTTTTCAGACACACAAATTGGTCACCTTTCATTAGCGTAAAGCACTTTGAGTATCCTGGTTTGATAGAAAGGCACTATAAAAGTACAGTCAATTCACTATTCATTATAATTAGCAAGACACCTTCCATCTATGATTTGAAGCAGACTTGTTTCCATCCATACACCATTGCACTTGGTAAACAAACGTGGGTCAGAACCAGAGTATCACCTCGCTCATACATTGTCCCACTCAGGTCCGTCTGAACCTGATTTACAGTGACTCGAATAAAATTGTATTGTGTGCAATTAGTTGTCAGAAAAACTGTTACTGATCAATATTTGGCACTTTGCAATTACTACGATTAGTGACGCGCAGCTCGACTCACCTCTTCTATTTCCTTTTCTAAAACAAATAATGGCTCATCAAAGTCCACGAGATAGTTATTGCAGTCATTTCCATGCAGAGATAGTTGATTGTTAACATGGACAAATTGGAATTAATTTCATTTTATTTTAATATAGAAATGGATGACAAACCTCAGACACTTGTGGTTTTGGCATGAAGTAATACTTTTTATTATATATGATGCAGCTATTAGACATGGGTAACAACCGGAGCTTTTTGTCCGAAAAGCTTAATTTTATTTGAAACTCAACACTTAAAACAGGTTCCTTTCAGACTGAGTTATTATGGAGTTAGATACTCTTATTGATAAGACACACTGACTCTGTTCCTCTGTTTAACGTACAGCGGGTAAAATAAGAATTGAACATGTCACCATTTTTCTCAGTAAATATATTACTAGAGGCGCTAATGACATGAAATTTTCACCAGATGT